ATGGCATTTTCAGACTGTTTGAAATCGTCCTCCCCATTAGGTGCTAGGTCCTTTCAGATGATTGTCGGTCATGTGTCTTCACAACTTTCTTTTCCTTAATATCTGTAATCTGTGCATTTGCAGGATTGTTATTGGGGAAAATTGTATGGTTTCTCATTACTTTCTGCACTGTTTTTAATCCAGAGTTATCTTTTTCTTAGACCGGTTGGTAGCCAAGGCTAGAGACGCCATCATGCTCTGATATTTAACCCATAGCTTCAGGGATATATATGGAGTCATAATTTTCATAAGAATGTTAGTGTTAAACATTCGCCTACTCAGCTTTAATTTGAACTCAGATCAACGGATTTATTTTATCTTTTACTTCGTCTGGCTCAAAGCTACATAACAGAGAACTCACTGAGACCAAAGCCATAAATGAGAAGTTAACTTACTAACAAACTACTTATGCACAGGGCTCGTCCCTGGGCTGGTGGTATCACGGCTGACTAGCTTGGACCGGCTCCGGTCTGGACCAGCTATGACAAGCCAAGACCAGCTATGACTAGCTTAGACCGCTCTGACCAGCTTGAACTATCTATGACCAGCTAAGACCAGCTTGGACTAGCGGCCCGAGTGAAAACACTCGGGTCCCCACGTTAAAAACCGACCTTGTGTCACAACCTGACTTAGTGGGGGGTCAAGTAAATATCTACTTATGTATCTTTTAGTAGATTCTTACTATGAATTGCCCACGTATGGCTAAGGCAGTTTTGAGGAGTTATCCAGTGAGAACAAGAAATATCCTACGACAATAGCTTTCTGAAAACAGCGTTAAGACAGGAACTTAACTTCAGTGAAGATCAGCCTCACATCACTGATAATGGGGCTTACGTTTGCTCGCTAATCGTTTCACTATGACAGACACTTCATGTCGCTCAGGTCTGATTCAGGAAAGATTCAAACTTGTAGCCAATAATCCTACAAGATTAACTTTAAGAAGAAATTATTACTCTCGGGTTTTAAGGTGTTATTTTCTAAATATAACTTAGTCTAGTACAAGATTTTATATTTTTATTTAGTCGTTAGCCCGGACATTCATAAGCCAAGCATCACGATCCTGCATCAAGGTCTGAAGGTCATTAGGGTTCCATTTTGTATCATAACATAGTTGGTCAATGTAAGTGATTGCTGTGCGGCCAACCAGGTTGTTAGGTGTCCAGAGCAGTAGATCACTAGCAAAAAAATCACTAGTTCTTGTTTTGCTCACCATTGTTTTGCGCCATTCTTCGTTCACATAAGATTGTAGAAATACCAGAGAGGGGTCAACAGAGATGCGATTTAATTGGATGTTTTCTTCAAGAGATGTTACGTATAACTCTCATGATCCGAGTTTAGGTTTCATCAAGTTTAGACTAGAGTTTTAGTTAACCCATAAGCAATGGCACCGTATATTTAAATCGCCTTGACTTTGATGCGAAATAATCTCCGTTTGAAATTTGGTAGATCATATTTCCTGTTACAATCGCCCAATTAATCTCGAACTCACTATCAATGGACTGTGAGATTAACCTGTGTATCTAATACGCGACTTTAACACACTAATCAGTTAGTTATGCGTCATGCGTGATACACGCTTAGGTAATTATATATCATTCGATGCATGATTGACGAGGCAGATTTTTTTCCGGCAGTAGGTTGCCATTTCTTTCTGCGGTAGACCGGTTATCAGCCAAGGCTATAGAACCCGGTTAGCCTGCTATTTACCCATAGCTGGGGGAGAAGAAGAGGATTCATAACTTTCCCAAGGGTATTAGCACGTAAGTGAATGTAATGGATTCGACTGGAATTCGAACTCGGCTCTCCGATTCCTCAATCCGAGACGCTATCCATTTCTCTACTAATGCCTCCCGTTAAATCTGATATTAATTATAAAAGCTAATATAAAAAAAGTCGTTATTAAGGATAGATTTTGTAAAAAAAATCCGATAGTAATATATGTTTAAACAATTTCTTGGTGGTAAAATATAGTGTTTAATGGAAAACATTTTTTTGATAATAATTTTCAAAATATGCTTCTTCTTGCCATACTTATAGATTTCTGAAGAAAAAAACTATCGATTAAACGATTATAAAAATTATCTGGTATGAATTTTAAGTTATTATAACCCGGAATAAACTATAGGCTTAATACATTAATGGTCATCAGCTTCCAAAATGGGACGGTGAGCAATAAGAGAGAACATGTTTAGGTTTTATCGATCAGAAGGTCATAGTTGTTTCGAACAATGACTTGTGGCGTATGCTAATGGTCTCTCGTCAAGAAATATCGTTAAGACAGTGTAAACGTGCTAAATTCGTAAACAATTGACTGTGAATATTAAGTTTAATTTGATTAATACTCGAAGGAGGAAAAGGAAAATATATTAGAAAAAATCATTATGTATTGTCAAGAGTTCATTGACACATTGAATATCTACTATCAAAATAACATGACGGTGACGTATGGAAACTGCAATCACTTCACGACGGAAAATCTAATATGGTTGTAACTCACAAAAACTATGAAGTTCTCTTATAATTACTAATTAAGTATAGTGTACATATATCCATAATAAATTTAAGTTTTGTCTTTAAAAAAATTGAATAAAAAGCAGTGATGTGCTTTATGGGGAAAAATGGCGGTAAGAAATTTTTGGTTGAAAAAAATGGCGATAAGAAATTTTTGGTTGATTTTTACTTCCACTAGCATTTTATCTTTTTTTCTTTCTTTCTCTTTTGCTTTTTTTTTTCAGATTCTTTTTGTTGTATTTAATATTAGCATTTTCACACGTTTTGTCTTTTATCGAACATTTTTTTCTTTAACATTTCAGAAAAGTTATTTCTTTCTGTTTGTTTTTCTTTTGTCTTTTCTCAGACTTTCTTTTTTGTTTTTTTTTTTCAGATTCTTTTCCTCTTTGGTATTTTTCACACATTTTTTTGTCCTTTTTCATACTCTTTCTCTCTTTGATCTTTCAGATTCTTTCTTTCTTTTATCTTTTTCAGAATACTTCTCTATTTTACAGATTATTTTTTCTTTCTTTCTTTTTTCAAATATCCTTGGGGAAAAGTATGAGTCCATCTCATCTTTTCCTGACAATGTGTTAAATTGCGAAGCAGACTAAACCCTCCAGCCGTGGTTGACAACCAGTCTAGAAGGAGGATAACTGTGTAATTGATGGATGTAAGGCTAGCAATCCCATCATGTAAAAATCTATTTGCTATTGAAGCCGCATCCACAACACTTACAATAGTCAGGGCGTGGCCTTATGTTCCACAGAGAGATTACAAGATTAGTTATACCACAAACAATATTACAAAATGTAGTAGAGTAGCCCAGTTATTTAGAGAAAAATATTTTACTAAAAATAACATTTTGAACAAAACATTTTGTTTTTGTTTCATATTCCACTTCTCAAGGCGATGTTTTCGAAATACAAGATGGGGTTTGATAGACAGACGCAAGGGATTTTTAAGCCGGTGATCATAAAACAAAAAATATCTGTTTTATTTTTGGAATCAATAATCAGCGAGCATTTGAATTCTTGTAAAATATTGAATACTCGAGTGAAAGTGAATTTTTCTATAGATCCAGTTAAACTTCTGTGAATAATCAGAAAATTAACGCAAAATTCTTCTTCTTCTTCTTGTTCTTCTTCTTCTTCTTCATCTTCCTCCTCCGCCTCCTCCTCATCTTCTTCTTCATCCTCTTCCTCCTTCTCATCTTGTTCTTCTTCATCATCATCCTCCTCTTTTTCCTCATCTTCTTCTTCTTCATCATCTTTTCCTCCTTCTTTTTTTCATCATCATTATCTTCTTCCTCATCTTTTTCTTCTTCGTCATCATCATCATCATCATCATCATCATCTTTTTCTTCTTCTTCTTCTTCGTCATCATCATCTTCTTCGTCTTCATCATCATCATCATAATCATCTTCTTCATCATCATCATCATCATCTTTTTCTTATTCTTCTTCTTCATCATCATCATCTTCTTCTTCTTCATTATCACCATTATCATCATCATCTTCTATGTGCCGCGTCACTTCAGGACGTGGTCGATCATGGCGCTCCAAAACCTCTTGTCCTTTGTATCCCTGAGTAAATGTTGTCTTTTTGCTCTATTTCGTAATGCCTGTTCTGTCTTCCATTTACACAAGCTCGCTATTGTAGCTCATGCGCTGCTTTCCTCTGTCCACCTTACCTTCAATACCTCTTGTGAGTGTCAAATTTTCTAAGCCCGCTTTCCTTATTATGCACCCTAGAAATTCCAACTGTCTTTTTCCAATACTAATTATAAGCGTCCTTTTTTTGTTTCGATTTTCTCTAAAACTTTGTCGTTGCTCACGTGTTCAGTCAATTGTATTCTCAACATCCTCCTGTAGAACAACATTTCTCTTACCTCTCGTCTCTTCTCCATCTGTAATGAGATGGTTCAGCATTCCTTGTCATATAAGAGTTCCAATGTTACCTAACAATTCAGTACTCTTTGTTTCCAGTGAAAATTTCTGTTAATACTTTGCTTAACTTTTAGAAGGCATCTTTCACTATCCCAATACGCCTCCGGTTTTAGTGTTGCATTTACCATTATCTGTTAAAACCCTTCCTAAATATGGAAATATAGATTCAAAAGCGGTCCCCAGCCGCATGTATACACATTTTAGGACAGTGCAATCCGAACAGTGAACCGGTTAGAGCGTCGACACGTAAGATTTCCATACCAAGCCGACCGAATTCGGTGATGCCAGGATCGTGACGCGGACCCATGGGTGAAGGTTTTACCGGCGGAGGTGAGGCACGTGGTCATGAGCTGATCATATGATCATGTTGCACAACCTGTTTTGAGCAACTTTGTAGGCCAGCAGAAGCTAACCCTCATCAGCCAGCAAAGGTATGCCGGCCACTCGACCCGAACTTCGGCCGGCAAATCCACTTAAATCCGACGCAACACCTCAAATATCATTGCGAGAAGACGATGATTAAAACATTCGAAAAAAAAAAAGTTGTGAGTACTCATCGTCTAAGAGTGATTTTCTAAGCGTAGCTTAGATGTGGCGCAAAGTACGGGGTATCCAGTGAGGAGCGAACTCACTATCCAGTCGTTATTGTTTTAGTACGACAGGCGCGCTAACCATTACACCACGTTGAGGTGACCACAATTAGAGTCTAAAGATTTCGCTGTATATGTTTAGAGGCAAAATATGATTATCAAAATTGTATGAAAAATACCGGGACGGTTCTTTTTTTACGTACCGTGTCCTTTCGGGACGTGGGAAATCTTCGATCTTCTTATCCCTTGTAGTTCTTAGCTAACGCTTCCTTTCTATCACTGTTCTGCTATCCATTCTACACAAGCTCCTAAAGTAGGATACCTACTATTTCCCTCATATCTCTATTGCTTTTAATTTCACCTATGAGTGTTCAATTCTTTAAGACCTCTTTCCTTATTGTGTGTTCCAGAACTGCTAATTTCTGATTCTAAGCACAATTGTACTTTTTGCTTTAGTTTTCATAAAAAAAGCCTCATCGGTCACATGTTCTATCCATGATATTCTCGGCATTCTTCATCTGTGTTCCCTGAAGTTTCCTCTTTCCTCTGCGAGGAAATTGTCCAGATTTCACTGCTAGGACTTATATTATATATTAACTACGCATTATTTTCCTCTCTTTTAATAGTTTAGTTTTTTAGAAGGCATCTTTCCTATTTCAATGCACCTTCGAAATTCTGTGTCACATTTTTCATCGTCAGGTTTCAGTTAAACTTCTATACCGGCTTGATTCTGATGTCTCCATTTCTTAACTCACATAGATTTGTCTTCTTATAATTGATGGTTAGTCTTTTCTTTTACTACCTTGTTTACGAGTGTTAAATAATAGTTTAGCAGACTGTTTTTTGTTTTTTTTTTAGAGGAAGCGTATCTCTGCTCGGACTTCCTGAGGGTGAACTTAGTGGTCAGATGGAAGACAAAATACGGAAGTCGATTTCGATTGGCTGAGCCAGCGTAGGAATGATAAATATAGAGAAAGGGTTTTCAGGGAGTTGAGGCTTAACCGTCAAACAATGTAGATGTGTTTTTTTTTCGTGTTTGAAATATTTCCCTAGTGGAGGGGAACGACCCCCACTGGATAGATAGAATAGGTCGACATGAACATTAATAAAATATTTAAGTTAAAATTCCCTGTGTTGAAGTTCTTTTATCTCTGGAATAGAAAAAAAACCCAGCGATCACTGGCCTCGAGCAGGTGTTTCATTACTGGGAATTTTTGCCGTTCATTTGGAGCAGTTTAAGTTTAAAGTCAACCCACAGAAAATCAATATTAGTAACAACAATTGGGTGCAACTTAGGCACATCTTCGAATGGGTGGGTTGTTAACAATTTGAATGAGGGTGGCCCTGAAAATGGCCGTTTTTGCGTTCTCAATCTTGCAAGGAAGGGACCTCTTCCATGGACCGTCATAATAATAATATACGATAATTTTTATTTATATTATTTTTTATAATTCTAATAATCTTTTGCGTTAGATTTCAACTCTCTAAATTGATTGTACGCTGTTTTTTTACAGACATTAAATTTTTCCTTTGATTTTTGCGCAAAGTGTAAAAAATCAGTTTTTTCGATTTTTCACCTTCAAGGTTTAATTTTTTTAGCCAATTTGAACTCAAAATCGGCACTGAAGAATTATCTATCAAACAAAAAAATATTTAATCGAAATCGGATGAAGACTATGGATACGCATAAACAACATCCGATCAAGAACACACGCATTTTGAGAATTATAGGCATAGATAGATTGACGCCGTTGCCCAAGAGATCCCCAGGACGAGGAGGGCTATACAACACGAGTTTCTGTAGTTTTCTTTCTGTGTCTGCAATCAACGTGGTATAATCTGCATATTTTATGTTGTCAAGATTGTACTCACCAGCAATAAATCTTGGCAGGACTTCTAGTTTTCTTAGAATCACCTCACTGTATAGGGCGAATAAAACCGGTGAGAACGCATACTTTTCTTATGCTTCTTATTTCTAATATTTGTAATTGTACAATTCAGTTTTGTTAGTATGTAGGCGGTTTTTTTCCAGTAAATGTTCAAGATTCTACTATCCTTCTTAAATAAATAGCTTTCCTAGAACTTCAAATAGATCTTTGTGTCGTACCCCGGCAAATGTTTTCCCTTGGTATATGAAACATAGGCATATGCCTTTCTGCGTCTGTATTGTTTAGTTTGATCGCATTCGAATCATAAAGCTCGAATTTCTTCTTCCAGTGTCTAATTTTACAATTGGCTCGATAAGCTTAAATGTGTGGCTCATTATATTGATTGACCAATTGAGATCACATTAATTTGCACCTGGCATCTTAGGCAGCACGATAAAGATGGATCTACTAAGGTTTTCCTGTATGTTGCTATGTCTTATATTTCATTTATTTCAATAATCTTGTCGATGAGGAAATCGTCTGCCGCTGACAGCATCTCTATTTGTAAAACGTAAAAACAAGTCTTACGAAAACCATACGACTACTAAGCAATATTCTTAAAAGATAACCGTGTCACCTGCTTTTTTACTTTGCGGAAAAAATATTGCTTTGAAAATCGCAATGCAATTTTTTAAATTTTTACCATCGCCCAGCAACTGGGTTGAAATGAATCATCGACTGAAGAATGAATTTTCTGTAAAAATCGCGTGTTTTAGCTTCGAATTTTTCAAATCTCTTTCATTACTTTGTCTACCTTTGATATGCTTACAGAGAGGAAAAAAATAACCTTTTCCTGTTAAACGAAATATATTTCAAAGACTTGATAAATGATATTTGCGAGGTAGAAAATTCTTCAGGAACCGGTAGAGGATTTGGAATGGATTTTTGTTGGCATGACAAAGAATTGCAGAAACAATTTTCAGCTTTTTTTTTTTTTTTTTTTTATTTACAGGAGAGAAAGACCTACATATAGACGTAAAATTATTAGAAAGCATGAATAAAAATACAGAAAAAAAATACACGGACGCCACCCAATGCTTCAAAAATATTTTTCATAGCTGATTACTAACATAGTAACTGGATTTGTAATTTGTAAAATGTGCTACTGACGTGGGGCACGGAAGATCAACTAAATTGCAAGAGGCCATAAGTTATGAACTGTGGCTCAAGTGAAGTTTCTTTTTATAGGTTTTCCGTAATAAACGGGAAATGTTCGTTAGAAACAAAGAAAAGAATACTGAACTGTTACCTAATATCAGTCCTCATATATGTCAGTGAATAATGGATATTTTCCCCACAGGGGAAGAAGAAATTAAAAAGAAACAGGCATGTGGCTCTACAGAAAAATAACGGAGACGTTTTAAAGAAAAATGGAAAACAAGAAGGAATTAGATAGAAACAGTTGACGTTTATAGCGCATATAATGAGGAAAGAGGCTTTGGAGAATTTGATGTTCCCAGGATTTACTGAAGGCAAGAGAAACGAAGGAAAGCATCGATTAACCTACTTAATGAGCTTGTATAAATGAATGACAGAACAGGGATTAGGAGGGATGGCATAAAAGATACCTTACTAAGAACTACAAAAGACAGAAAGTGGTGGAGAGCCATGATCGCCTACGTCCTTAAAGGTAGGTAGAACAGAATGGAATTTCATCAAAATGGGAATTTTCGAAATTTTGTTTTTAGTTGTGTAGGGATACAAAAAGTGATTATCTCCCTTTCGTTGAGATAAAGTCACGAGGTTCACGTGACTGTCAGTAAGTGACGTCAGGAGATAGATTGACGTAGGGAAGTTGCGATGTAAAACCCAGAGCAGGAGGACGTCCCTAGCCCATAGCGGTAGGTCTCACAGAAAAAATCACATGGCCTCACTAGGTTCATCGAGAAACAATTGTAACTCGGGAAAAAATATTATAGTTAAAGCTCCCGTTTTTTTACACACTGCTTGTTGTTACATACATGATATAATTTCTCTGTGTGGGATAAATACATATATGTGTATATAATTTTGTGTACGACTTGGTATAAAATTCTCTCTGAGAGCAAAGCAATTTGTTATTCTTTTCAGCTTTCCAGTTCCGCCCGTGAAATACAGTGTTATTATATTACGGATATGATAATGCCCATAATGGGGGAAATGTTGGGGAGAATGAACTTATCTTCCAATAGCTCACCAATTATAGTTAATATGGAATTACCCATATATGTGTTTACAAAGATGATAGCTGTACGCTGATAGCTTGTCTTGTAAACAAATTAGTTCCCTGTGGATATGGATTATCAAACATCTATTACGTCATATAAAAGTTCACCAAATCATTTTTTTAACAACTTCCATTGCAACTCACCTTCTTCAATCTTTCCCCAATCTTTCCATCATACGAGTCTCGTGACAGCAAGAGGCATCTAACGTTACCATTTCTGCACAAGAGAATGTAAAACCATAGCAGGATTAAAAATCCACGCAACTCATATTTGAAGATGGATCAAGCGGTGTCATTGCTTGAAATCGAGGATCAGCTACTATATGTTCATGTAAGCGCAGAGTTTTGCATAGATAGATAGATAGATAGATAGCGAATATGGAAAAGGACAACAAAAGAAATCGGTCCCAGTTCCAGAGAGTTCCAACTTAATCCCCCACTTCCACATTCTCTCCTTTTTATAATTTCTAGAGTTCTTTTACATTTTGCAAGCTTTGTAGTTATTCAATATTTCTCATTATCTGTGCAATCAACTTTGTGACCGATTTTCAAGCTTCAAACTCATAACGTGGCTATTAATTTGCAACATCAAAGTTCAGAATATTCTATGTAAATCAAGGTCCTTAGTATGAAATTACATATATGCATGTTTGGGGGGGGGAATATACAGATGAGGGGATGGTACTGAAACCTTGCCTTGCAAAAAAAATAGTTCCCTATGGATGTAAATTATCAGTGATTTCTTACCGACTCGTCTTCGACATACTAAAATCAGCTACGTAGGCACCTTTAGAAAGGA